GTAGAATTAAGGCAGTTCTGAAGGCGAAAGGGGGTCAAACACCGTATTAGTATGGTGTTCCTAATAATCCTTTAGGTGAGTGTATATCATTCACTTCCCCAGATCTATAAATGACCTGTAAATGAAAATTATTGGAAAGCAGTGTGCACACACTGTTTGTCCAAGACCGAGACCTATGTACAACTCAGTTTTATTAATAAATATGAAGCATTTATAAATGTTCTGGTGTTCTGTCACTACTTTTTTGGGGGGTAGGGTGATACATTTGAAAAATGTAATTTATGCTGGTGTACAAAGCTCCCCATGGAAGATTACATGAAATTACCACATTTTTTTGGTATTCCCTTTTAATGGTAACTGATGTTAATTTTTTGCCAGTTGATAACTGGACAGATACTTCTACTGCCCGAGCTGTCTTTCATGACTGGCATTCCTGAAAAGATGAGGAAAGATTTCCGAGCCATGAAGGTAAGATGCTTTGATGAATAGTTCTGTCTCCCTCACCTTTACAAGATTTTTCTGTGATGGGAAGTGTGGAATCTTTATTGCATTTTAAAGATTGTGTTGAATGGTGGTGTGCATTTGTCTTCATCTAGGAATTGACGATGCACATCAACCTAAGTGGGGAGCAGCACTCCAGTTCCCTCAAACAGCTTCTGCAGAACATCAACTCCAACCAAGAGGCACTGACAGAGCTGACCCGCTGGGGCCTGGAACTCAAAAATGACATACTAATGGTGCTCATTCTTTGCATATGAAGTGTCATTGGTCTTTGGGCAGTGTCTTCATAGACTCCGTTTGTGGGTTTTTGTATTGAGCCTTTGTAACAAAGCATATAAATAATGCACAATACACAATACAGTTAACACAAAGAGACTTATTATACTCTGATCTGGGCATCACCGTGCTTTCAGCAAGTCTCCCCTAGGTATAAACAAAGTTTTCTTTTGTTCAGAGTCTCCCCCATCTGTTATATTCTCTTTGGTGATTAGTACTGTTTGCATGACTGCTGCCTCAAGTCACTGGCCTGCATTTTCCATTCTTGGCAGACTGAAGGAAGGACACTGCCCTTGGAGAAGATCTGCCTGCAATCAAACTCCTTCATAACTTCTCCAGATGTCAGCTGGTCCAAAGAAGTGGTCCGGGATGCCTCTATCTGTTGTGTGAGTGTTCCCTTCCCCCTTCCCTTGGTGCTGTCTGGCTGTTCTTTATTTTGATGCATATTTCCACATTGAAGTGTGACTAAACTAAATATACTTCTTATGAATGAGGCACTTTTCAGACTGGTAAGTGGAACTGGGTGCTGACTAAACTCATTGAACATCCTCAATAACAGCGTATGAAATGGTAAATGTGGTAGAAAAGTTTAGACACTCTGGCAGCGTGTGGCTCAGTGGGCTAAGCCGTGTGCCTCTAATCACAAGGTTGCCGGTTCAAGCCCAGCCTCAGCACGTCTGCGGCTCCTTGAGCAAGACCCTCAACCCCCAGCTCCCTGGGCGCTCTACAAAAAAAAGAGCAAGTTGAGGGAGGCGTAAAAAAGAATTTCCCCACAGGGATTAATAAAAGTGTCATTATTATTATTATTATTATTATTATTATTATTACACATTTTCTTATTGACGAACATGTCAATGCACGTTGTCCAAATCATTGTGTAAGATAGGCAGATCACAAGCATATAACTGTCAAGGAGCTAACTAGGGGTAAGTGTAGCTAGGCTGTGCTTCCATTTATTAATCGGTGCCAGTTGGCGCTGGAATGATGTGTCCCCATGGGAAAGGTCCTTATGCAGGGTCAGCCAGTGTCCAACAACCCTGGAGCATTTATGGGTAATGGCCTTGTTCAGAAGCCCAATTGCAGCAGCAGTATTTTGGCCCTGGGATTAGAACCAGCAGCCTTCATATCACAGGCACAAAGTCCTACTTTCTGAGTCGCACACAATCTTGAGCTGCTAGAGGTATTGCAGGGGTAGGCAACCCTGATCCTTGGGTGCCCGGATCCAGCAGGTTTTCTATCCTACCTGATGAGTTACTATCTGCCTGAGATCATGTGTGGTTCATCAGAGACCAGGTAGGATGGAAAACTTGCTGGATGCTGGCACTGCATGATGACGGTTACCTACCCCTGAGCTATACAATACGCTACCAACATAAGAACTTAAGAGAGCTATTCAAATGTAAGAATTTTCAAATGGTTCTTTTAATTGCCCATATGAACTTAATAGACTCATTTTCAATAATGGATCAGCCTAGCTAGACAACTGGTCAAAGGAAATGAATCTTTCGCACAAAAACATGGAAAAGATTGACAGCCAATACCTTTGGGAAAGTGCCCTGCAGGTTCTGAAACTGCTTATGGTGTTCATGGAAGAGGTGGATAATGCAGTTTATCGAAGGCGTTGATGTTATTCAATGTTGCTGACACCTCAATGTTAAACTGCCTGTTTATCCATGCATCTCTGTTCTATAACCAACTGGTCAGTTGTGGTCAGCCTATAGCTACTTGCTGGAAATATAGGGCAGGATGCTGGGGACATCCTGGATGGGATGCCGGTCCATTGCACAAAATTATATCCTGAGGGCAATTTACAGATTCCAGTTTACCTAACAGCTTATTTTTGGGCTGTGGGAGGAAGCCCACATGAACCCAGGAACATGCACACTTCACATGAAAAACCTGGGTGAGAATTGAACTCACAACCTGATGATGTAACATTGCAGTGCTACCCACTTAGTCACTATGGTGCCCTGGTTTATTTTAACTACCAAAATCTTTTCAAAGCATTCTTATCAGTACAAACCCTTTGACTCATATAAGTTATTTAACAACGTGATTGAATTTCCTCAGGTATGAGAATATTTTTAGAAACAAGTCGACTGCCTCACAATAAACTTTGCTGCCTCTGAACTGTGTGTGTGTCCATCCCAGATCCCTTTAAACCGCTGGAGCATCTTCTACCCAAAGCGATGCGCCGAGCAGGTTGAAGAGCTGGTAGTCACCTTTGGGAAGGTGGCTGGACCCATGGGCCTGCGACTGGATCGGCCAATCCACGTGGAGGTGAAAGATGACCGCACGGAGACCTACATTAAGAGTATCCATTCCCAGCTGAACAGTGAGGTAAAGGCAGGAGGGTTATGGGGATTATTTAAGCATTCGGTTGCTGTGTTAGCATGTTTTCGTTTGACTTGATTTTTAAATGAGACCTTGCAGAGAGCTTTTGTGCTGGTGTCCTGTCAAAGCTCATCCAGTTCATTCTTCCCTGGACTACTACTCTCTCCTGTTAGCCCAATGTGCAGCTGGTGCTGTGCATCATCTTTGGCAACAGGGATGACCTGTATAGTGCTATCAAGAAGCTTTGCTGCGTTAAGAACCCTGTGGCTTCCCAGGTAGCTTATGCTCTTGATCTTAATCCTTAATCTCAGCCTTTGCATGCTGGTTGTTTTTTGTTCCTTTTCAGTGCCTCCACCTTTATTTAATTTTATATTCCACATTTCATTTTTTCCAAAGCATCTTTTCCTGAAATGTTTCCTGACTCAGGCTTTATTTAGTGTTTTTAAGGCTTTATTTAAAATGGTTAATCATTGCTGATCTCCATGTAACAACATGGCAGTTACCTCTGACATGAGAGATGGTCATTTCTATTAAATCACATTTGTTTTTGGTTGCAGACTTATTTTATTGTCCATATCTCTCTGTATTTGCCATCAGTTTCATTAGTTGTTCCTCTTGTGTGTGACATTAATGATCAGACATTCAAATTATATAAAATATATAACAAAATATATTTTGTTTCCTCCTTGCTGGCCGAATACTACAGGTCATAAATGTGCGCACAATCTCGCAAAGTCAAAAACTGAGAAGCATAGCTCAGAAGATCTTGCTGCAAATTAACTGCAAGCTGGGAGGAGAACTGTGGACTGTGAATATTCCTCTGGTTAGTAGCATTATGGGTTGAGAGACTGACTCATTACCAGCCAGCCACATACAGTTGCTTGCATCCTTCGACTTGATACAGATGTAGGTAGATTCATATGAATTCTACCATCACCCTTTCAGAATAGAATTGTACAGTGCTTCATGGGATTGACTTCTGATAGCCCTCCCTGATCTGAACGACAGCATGGTATTACGTTTATCGGCATCAGTAGTGTTCTGTTTGATTTATATGTACTTGCATATTCATATTTTCCAGAAAAATCTAATGGTAATTGGAGTTGATGTTCATCATGATGCCAGCAAGAAAAGCAGATCTGTGATGGGATTTGTGGCTAGTCTGAACAGGTAAAGTATTGGTTTGGCTAAGATGCCTACGTTTGTTGCATCAGATCAGTTGAGGAGTTGCCCTTTTCCTTTCCACAGTTTATTGACTCGGTGGTATTCAAGAGTGATCTTCCAAATGCCGAATGAAGAGATGATCAGTGGCTTCAGAGTTTGCCTGATTGCGGCTCTGCAGAAGTACTATGAGGTGAGACTTCACTTCTCAAGCTTTGAGATTTGTAATTTTGAATAATTAGTGTGGCTGTATTTATGGCTATTTGTGGTTGAAAAATTTGTGCATTTCTAGCAATTTTAAAGCAATTTTAAGGTGAATGATTAGAACTTTACTTAAGGGCACTCTCAATGTGGTCTAACTTTGTGCCATAGGTTCAGGTTGCTCGGTCCTTACTGCAGAATGTGGTCGCCATAAGGCTTGTACCCCACTCAGTCAATCAAATTTTTTGTTAAAGGTTTGGTTGCAGAAGTTCCTGTATGTTTTTATCTAGTTTAGCCACAATATCTCATGTCACAATATGCATCTCATTAATATTTTAGGCATGCTACTAATCTGCTTATCAAATTATGGGCAAAAATGTCTGTGTAGTGTTGAAAAGCTGGCTTCCATTATCTAAAGCCCTGCAATGACGTTTTAATTTGACAACAAACTAACTTTAACAGACATGAATGATTTTCTGGAGCAAAATTGTTTGGACTAATTGACCAATCGGTAAAATAGTTGATGGGTTAATCCATAGAAAAATAGCCATTAGTGGCAGCTGTACTAAACACTAAGAACAGTTTCTAAACTAATCAAACTTTTTACATCGTCATATGATGACAACGGTCATATGATTCACTGTGTACACCATTCCCATATTATGCCACATACTCTTCATCTGCAACAATTTACTGTAAATTTAAGGCACTATAGCTTAAATTTTGTTTTATGGTCATTCATTTGGGTCAAACATGGTAAGATGAGTGTTTATATGCCCATTTTAAGTGCTGTGTTTGCAAATGGTGCTCGACCACTTATGTAATAGTGTTTTCTGAAAGTCCTATTACACGAGGGTTAAATTAGCAGTGTACAATCAAACATAAAACAATTATCACCGAAGCTGTAACTCTTAAGTTAAAGTCATAAAAATAAAACCATTCCAGTAAGAGGGGAAGAACCAATAGGGATTCTTTTTGTAAACAACCTCTGACCATGAAAGGCAATTTGCTTATAGCTCAGCAGCAGAATCGATATTTAGTCACACGGCAAGTATAACTATGGGTTTCTTGTGTTTGCTGTTTGTGGGTGTATTTGCCTTGGGCCACATCTGTTTGGTATGCTGGCACACGAGGCACACAGTGCATCTGATTGGTGAGAATGACTGTCATACAAGGAGAACGGCATGAATTCATAAAATTCTCAGGATAGTTTAAACTGTGGGTCAGATGTGCTGTATAATGGGTATCCTAAATCACAGCCTTTGTGGTTTGCAAATCGCATTGTTTCAAATTGCGATTTTGGTTTGAAATCAATAAATTGTTTAATCAAAATACTTACTTTTTTGTCCTGTTTTGGAAGTACAGAAATCTGTTGGATAAATCGAATTGGGACGAGTGCATGTGGGTAAAATTTCCAGCTTCTATCATTCAGTAAAATTACAGCATGTTAAGATCTTATGGCTGATGATAAATGGACGTTCCCAATTCTACAGAATGTTTTTACAGTATGTACAATACTTATTTTTCTCCTTTATACTGCCTCATGAAGTATGTATTGTGCGTGTTAGATTGAAGAATAAAGCCCCCATCTTCTCTGGACATGAACCCTTGCCTGTGTTTCAAAGACAAAAGCTCCTACTTCTGTCCAAAAACGTAATTTTTGCTGGTTTAACTGCTGCAAAAAGTGACTCTTACACAATTGGTTTAATTTCAATTGACATAGGTGAGGACTTTGGCTACTATTCTACTTATGATATGGGATCACTTGAACAAACTTCCATGATTAACAAAGCTAAACCATTTTCGTTAGTGACCTGCTAAGACCTATTACTGGCCCATTACAGCAGTTGCCCTTAACTCACTGATTGTAAACTTCTAGTCTTGTGATGTTCTATGGTATGATTCTTTAGTAAAGTTTTTTTCTTTTGAATTTTTATATTACTTTGTTACTCTCCTGTCTCTGTACTTAAAGCTAAGGTATGCGATTTTGAAGAAACCAGCATATTTTGAAAGTATCCAGCTGAAAGTCCCACCCCTTTGCTCTGCTGCTCCTCCACCTCTTCTTCCTCCTTTCCGCTTCCCCAGTCTACCCTCCCCCGTCTCTCTCTCCCTGTCCTTTGTTTGAACATGGACGACCCCTGTTTCTGATTGGCTGGAACCGTGTTCTGTGGTTCAGTATGAGTCACTTAATTTTTTTTCCCGTTTACGGAGCCAGGGCTGCGTAGAAATCCCCTTTTTTTCCGGCCAGAAGATATACAGAATGGAATATTCAGAGGCAAGAGAGAAAAAAAAATACTCCAAAAACTTGTGTGCCTCTGTGTGCAGCGTCCTCAATTTTATGGCAGTTTCTTCTGCTTCCCAAGTCAATCTGAGCTAAGAAAGCAATGTCATGTTCAAAGTACAGTTAAGTAAGTGAATACCTTCTCCACTGACTATAGACAATTAACAAAATGGTGCAATATTGCAGTTCAAAAAATATTAAGTAGGGCTGGGCAATGTGCGATATTAATATTGATATTGTAAGTTATGCACATGCAGTTCTCACTTTGCAAAAACTGCGACAGCTGGATTGATGTCAGGCTTTTACATATTTTCATACTGTACGGACATTGTACTGCGGTATAAGTTTTACATAAATGTTATTTTTCAATACAGTTCCAGTATTTAGAAATCTTGACGATAAAGCTTAAAGTTTGCCAAGAGCAGGGGCTTAAGTTTCCCTAAAGCATTTATATTCTGTCATGGAAATAATTTGGCAACGTTTGCAATATTAGTGATTTTGTTCCTTTTCAATATTTAGTATGTCATTAAGTTTAAACTATTACCGCTGATTTTGCATGAGCTCTGCATACGCTCTGCGAGCCAATCTGTCATTTTCATCCTTGCTGTTTAAATCAGCCATAGATTGGGTTTGGGGAAATTTTATTTAGAACACTTATAAATAAATCCCAATTTTTATTGCAAAAAAAACACATCATGATATTTGAATTTTTGCAATATCATGCAGCCATAATATTAAGAACTATGTAGTAACTACAACATGAGATGATAAAGTGATTTGACAGATTAGCAATCTGAAGTGGCGCTGGGGGTAGGATAAGAGAGAAGAGGGTAGAGAATGCTGCAGCACTATTAGAATTAGCAACTCGCTGTGGAGGGAGCAAGTGTAAAACATTTCAGGCCACAACCTCATACTTGTGTGGAAATGCTGCTGACCAAGAGTTTTCGCACCGCACCCTGATGGACATAATGTTTAATCCTCCAGACTGATGTAACCTACTTGCACAAGGCATGAGTTTGCATAGCAGCAGCATGTATAAGCGTACGAGCTGTGGGCATCAAGTTTAAACTGGCCGGTCAGAGTACTCAGCTGGTTGGTTGAAGTAATCTTGGTCTGGATTTTTACTTTGTTGGATCCACACAATCCAACTCTAAAAACAGGAAACTGAGGTCTTCATGTGAATGGCCAGTTGGTTGACATGTATTTCTGGGTGTGACTGTTGTCTTGACAGATGAACCACAGCTTCCCAGAAAAGATCGTGGTGTATCGGGATGGTGTTTCTGATGGCCAGCTGAAGATGGTGGAGCTCTATGAGATTCCACAGCTGCTTCAGTGCTTTAAGACTTTCCCGAATTATGAGCCCAAGCTGACATTCATCGTAGTCCAGAAGAGGGTGAACACCACTCTCTACTTGTTGGGGGGAAATGGGCACAGTACCCCACCCCCAGGGACAGTCTTGGACCACACAGTCACCAGCCGCGAATGGTCAGTTCTTTGGTTGCATTTCTGGACCTTTATTCCTTCACACTTAAGCATGTGCATACTTGCACGGGATTGATGAGCCTTTTGTCTCATCCAGGGTGGACTTCTACTTGATGGCTCATCACATTCGACAGGGCTGTGGTCTGCCGACACACTATGTGTGTGTGTACAACACAGCCAACCTCACCCCCGACCATTTGCAGAGGTGAGCTGTAGTAGGTGTGCTTTGGCGTGAGCCCATTCTCAGAGCGAGTTGCATTTTAAAAAACAAGACTGCATTTTCCGTACTCTGCGATGCGAATTCCAACCTTAATCTGATTCTCCCCCCCCCCCCCAGTAAACCACTTAAAAGTATGCACATGCACTTTTCCCTCACAGTAAATACATAGTAACCACTGCCCACAATTTATTAATTTATTAAAACACTTTAATGGTGTTCATGAGGGTTTTAGATCAAGTCTCCTGTCCCTTGAGCATGATTCATAACCCCAGTTGCTTCAAGGAATCTGCCTGTTCCTGCTCTCTGATCCTCACTTCAGACAAAAGCATCTGTCAAATAAATGTAAATGCTGCACGTTGTGGTTATACACATATTGAAAGTATTATGTAAAACTTTCCCAGGAACTTTGTATTGTATTGAATAAGCCATTGGAAGATGTATTTGATGTATGAATCTGTATTCACATGTAGCTGCCTTCAAGACCGTTAAGTAGCCAACATTATATATCTATGGAAAGCAACAAGTCCACTTTTCTGAGATAAAGCTGTGATTCTGTCAATAAGACTAGAAACACTAACCATTAAATGGCAGTACTACACCTAGAAAATGAAGAGTGTGATTAGTATAACACAAATGTAATTGAAATGATCCCCCAGCAGTAAAACTTTTAATTCAATTGAGGGAAAAAATAGCAATTCCCAGGCTCCACTAGCTGTGCCACTGTCACAGTGCACCAGCAACGTCTCAGGAAGTAGGTGAAATAACCAGCATGTATTTATGATATGATATATATGATCGGTTTTAATTGTGCCTCCTCTGAACAGGCTAACCTTCAAAATGTGCCACTTGTACTGGAACTGGCCCGGCACCATCCGTGTTCCGGCACCATGCAAGTATGCCCATAAGCTGGCCTTCCTTTCCGGCCAGTACCTGCATTCGGAGCCCGCCGTTCAGCTGTCTGACAAACTGTACTTCCTGTGATCAGCACCGCAATTTTCTCTGTGCGGTGGCTGTTCTCCAGTTTTGTCATTTTTTCTTTGTCTGATGACTGAAAGAGTTCAGTTTTATTACTCATTTATTTGGTTTGACTCCTGCGTTGCGGATTTGATACTGTTCAGCATTAAGTTTTACTTTACGCTAGCACGCTAGCTTTGTGATATTTTTATTCCTGTGTTTCTAAAATGTAGGTTGTCTCATGCTATACTTGATACCTAATTAAGTATCAAACACCTAATATTTCAGCTGCTTCTTGACAGGTTTAAAATGCTTAATTTGAAAGCCTGTATAAAGCTTCCATTAGCCACACATGCATTAAAAATTGAACGAAAAATTAAATGTTAATGGTCAAAGTAAATTGAGTCTTGCACCGCCATTTGTGACCAGTAAGTGTAGTAGAAAATCAAAAATGTTGCACACGGTTCATTGTGGTAGAAAACAATTTTACATGTCACTCTGGAATCTCTCATGAATGTCTCTGTGACTTCAGATTCGGTCATTACGTAGGCAGTCGCGTTTTGATAATAGCAGTATTTCATTGAACAATCAAGCAGCCACATAATATCCTTGAAGGGTATTATAATCCTGAAAGGCTATTGACAAAGAATTGCTGTAACATGGAAAGTAAATTTACTTCTTTGTATTAAGTAACAATTTTGAAATTACCTTTCTATCTGTATAAATGTGTGTACCCAAGATTTGCCTGCAGCACATATCCTGCTTATGTGTCTCAAGAAACGCTTACCGACTCACTTAGGGCTATATACTTAAGCTAGTGTATACTCTTCCATTTGGTTAGGACAAGGTCAAAGATTATCTGATTAGTCCTTTATAGTCCACTTTTGGTGCCTTTTGCAACGACTGACCTGTCACATATGCAGTGCCACATCATGCTTATGTGCACTACAGGCTATGGTATCTCCCTGTGGATAGACATTTTTGCAACTGGAGTTTACAGGGTTTGTAAAGAAAGTGTGTGCAGGTAATACATAAGGTGCACAATGTGATCTGTGTCCACTATATACTGTACACCTGTGATAAACAGGTATGTGAACATATTGTACAAGGTGCCGTGTACAAAGTGTTTGACTGTAGCTGGCTGGAGAAAGTGTGTATCATATATATTCATATATTTAAAACACAGAATTTTCTATACCCATACATTTAAATCTTAAAAATGTATATCAGTGTTTGCAGCTGCCAATTGGTAGAGAAGGTGCAGGTGTCTCCAAGGCTTTGTGGCACCAGAAGACAGCCCAGTTCAAGCTGCTGTTTAGTTGCTGGCTGGTTGTGGTTCTGACTCTGGGAGACACGTTACTCATCAAATATTGCCACCAAAGAAAAAACGAAGTCATTGACCTTGCTAATGTTATATCTAAGTACAATGCAACAGTATTACTTAATTTTACCCGAATTAAATGGGTTGTACAGAGGCTCATTCCATACAAAATATGATTTTGAAAATTGGCCAGTGGGGGGCACCAAGCTATACATTTAGATATTTACGTGTATTTGCATTTCTGCATAAACTTCAAATGTAACTGTACACAAAACTGGATTCACTGTGCAAAAATTCAGTTAGTTTAACACAATATGTAATAAACCCCTTGTTTCCAGGCAGGAAATAACCCGAATGAGGGGTTGTTGAAAGGGGGACTGGAAGTAAGCTCTGAATCAATTCCACCCTGTGGTTCTGATCCCCATCATTGTGGAGTGGTTCAGGTTGTGCTTCCTGGGTAGACTGAAAGCCCTTCCTTCCTTCCTTTACCTTCGACCCATACCACTTTCCCTACCACTCTAACAAGTCAACAGAGGATGCTGTCTCCACTGCAGCACACTGAGCTCTGACACATCTGGACACCAAAGATGCCTACGTCAGGTCAGGATGCAGTTTGTGGATCTGCATTCAGAATTAGACCTTATTTGCCTGGAACCTGACTGAATTGGTCACAATGAATACATAACATTTGATAAACACCATATAGAACTTAAAAACACTACAGAAGATATGCAGGATTCAGACTATAAAATATGCAATATCCACAATACATGCTATACAGCATGATAGATGAATGATAGGCTGTTCACTATACAAAAGTATTGTGGAACAATTATTGCACTGTGATTTTGTTACTGCAAATATTTCTGATTAATAAGGAATATTGCCTTTCTATTTGGAGCAGCTTGTGACCAGGATGAAAGCTCCCTTCAGCCAGGATGCATTCAGTTCCTGGATTGAGGAGAGGCTGCGAATGTGTGTATCGTTCGTTCTTTTGATTTTTTTTCCGTTTCAAAACCGAATCGGAAAAACAACAACAAAAAGGAACTACAGGACAAGAAAATATTTTTTCGTATTTTTCCCTTTTATAACCAAAGTGGAAATTCAAGACATCAGACTAATAATAGAGCAGTGGGTTTTTTTTCTCTGACTGGAAATGTAGTGAAGCAGAACAAAAGTGGACCAGGTTTAACGGTTTAACCGTTAACAACATACAGCAATTATGGCTGCACTTCTATTGTCATTTTTTGAGTGGATACTCAAATGCACATAAAATATTCGCGCGTTTACAACAATCTATTGTCGCACATGTCGCTTTTGTACGGAAGTCTGTAGAGGACATGCATAAACTTCTTTTTTTCTTTTCGTTATCTGGAGATCACGACTTATTTTTCTCGTCATCTCGACATAACCAAAGTCGTTTTCTCGAGATCACAACTTATTTTTTTATTGTGATCTCGACATAACCCATGTCACTTTCCCATGATCTCGCGACAGGTTTAGTATTATCCTCATGGACGAATGCATCAGATTTTACTTTGATCGTGGACTGTCCCAATCAGAATCATAATCAGAAGACTTTATTAATCCCGGGGAAAATTGCTCACATTGCGACTGCACAATCACATAAACACGAAGACAAGAACAATACAATATAAGTATTAAAATAGGAATGAAGTGTAAAACAAATTCTTCAAACTGTGGGGAAAAAAGTCGAGATATATTGCACGGTTTGCAACGAATCATGGATACGAGGAAATATCACTGTGTCTGTCGGTGCTAGAAAATTGTCATATTATAGTGTTTGTCATTTGAGAAGGAGCCTCAGAAAATTGCAGCAGAAATTATAGTGAGCCTGAACGAGTAGTCAGTTTCATTACCAACCAACTGGTGGGTCCGGGACGTCTCCATGGTTACCGGTTGACGTTCGAAATATGTCAGCTTAAAAAAATAAGAAAAACGTAAGTCGTGATCTCGACATAACGACTTTGGTTATGTCGAGATCACGAGAAAAATAAGTCGCGATCTCCAGATAACGAAAAGAAAAAGTTTATGCATGTCCTCTACAGATTTCCGTACTTTTGAAAGTGAATGCGTCCTTATACATACTAGTTTTAAGTGCATCCCTGTTTATAAATGTTCATACAGTACTGTACTGTATAGTGTAATAAACAGAATAGAGGAAATCAGATCAAATATACATTAATTAGGTTTACATGCTCTAAATTCAGGTAATCGTTTTTATTTATTCTGAATAATGAAAAGGTCTAATGGAAGCTTTGCTAACTTAGCTTTAATTCGTGTAATGCCGAGTCGCCGCGCTGCAGTTTCCACCCCCGAAGTTCTCGTACAGGGTGCAATACCGACTGGTCGGAGACCTATAGACATAAGTCCGGGCGGTCGTTAAACAGTTTGGTCGTTGAGGAGTATCTGTACTTGATAATGCTGAAAATAAACAATCAATAAAACAGTTTTGTTCCCTATGACAGAGTAAGAAATGTTTTAGCACAACTTACAGATGATCGAAAATTAGGCTTGGGCAGTATTACTGTAATTTGAGTTATTTATTGTGTTTTCACAGTAATACGTGAGCCGTCAGATACAAACACGGTGGGTAATTTACACAACAATCGAGACACGCGAGGATCGTACAGGATGCACATAAGACACGGGCAACACACGACAGTAGGGAATGCAGCTAAACCATAACAGCAACAATACAAGAGCTATTTATAATTACATGTACCGATAACCGCCAGTGTTACAATAATGTAATATACTGTGTGAGGAAAAATTAGATACAGCCTAAATCTCAACACAGCTGATGGTCATTGCAATGTGACAATTGCTTGCGCATAACATGCGACGTCAATATTAACATTGCATAGGCCTAATATCCATGCATTCTCTAGGCCCACATGTCCTAGGATCATGGGAGTACGGAACCTATTCCAGAGTCTATGGGTGCAAGGCAGAGAATAACCCCCCCCCCACAGAAAAAATATTTGGACTGGGGTGTGGGGAAGCAGAGAACCTGGAGGAAACCCCACCATGACATGGGTAAAAATACAGGCTTCATGGACACAGTGCCAGAGTCTAGGCTCAAGCCCTGGCCCCAGGGGTGTGAGGTAACAGTGCGAACCACTGCACCACCCCCATAATATAGTATAATTATATTATAATTATAATTATATATATAACTGATACCAAGTACAAAGAAACCCAGAAGTGGTTTAAAAGAGTCACAGACTTTCAGACCATTGCTCCCCTACAATTTCAATTTGAAGAGTTTTCATCTGATACACACAATGAAGAAATTCCACAAAAAGTAGACATAGCTGTTTTCAAAAGTCTTCAGAAACTGAACAAATACTACATTGAAAGAAGTATCATAACTATAGTAAAACCATGTCACACCTACTATCACAGCTATAGATGCAGAAGAACTCGAGAAATCTTCTTTCAAGGCGGTGCCTTGTAAGTTCTTAACCGAGTCATAACTGTTCAGGTTCTCACGTACAGAACGAGCTTGTTTTGCTATACAATCTGGCACGTGGTATGAAATTCCCACCAGTATTCTTTTATTGCTGATGCAAGTAAAGGGAGGAGTCTGAGATATGAAATCCTTTTACAGGTTTATGGTGTCTTGGCCTGTGGGCGATTAGGTTCTAAAAGTACATGCTGATCATCTTCTACAGCTACATTTACAGAGGCACCGCAAAGGGTGTGTGTGGGGGAGGGGGAGGAGTAACAAGAATTCCTAATTGGACTGGTGTGCTGTGCAGGCCTAGTATGATATGCAACTAGCAGTGCCCTGGATACATGACCGTAAGAGCAATAGGCATTTAGATGTGCAGGCTGTACTGAGAATAGCTACTGGTTCTACATGTTTACTATAGGGCATATTATATAAATCTTTATACATTCATTGTTGACTGGTCTCCATCTTTGATGTAACACTTTGTAGTGAGTCCATGAGGTATTTTCTTCCAGTTACTTAAGACTAGATACTAGATGGATGGCACCATAAATTGACTTGTCAGTCCAACCATACGTTGAACAGACTATAGGAGGTGGCTTCAAGTGCATCCAATAGTATAGCTAGTGCTTCCTAAACCAGTTTGGAAGTCCCTCCAAAAAGGAACCATAACTATTTCAGGAATGTTGACAGCAATGAGCGTGGGGCATCAGGTGACTCATTGTTATTATACTTACTGTTTCACCTGTCTTTCATTCCCTTTGTTTACTATGTATTTTTTATTTGTACATTACTATGGCCAACCTTGGTTGCTATTCTTTTAACACTTCATTACTAATCAATAGTAGTCTAGTAATGTATCCATATTGCATTACATAGAGCTCAAACACTTGTAAAATTAACTTCCAGTAACACTGCCAATATTCTCACCCATTAAGCTGGCTCACTTTTGTTAACTTTTTTTATGCTGTACATCGACACAGCTTAGACTATGAAAATTAATCTGTTATCTTCAGATCAGATTAATCTGTTATCTTATCTGTAGAGCTGGATTTTGGGGTGTACCTAGAAATCCTGGGCCCGTCTACAAGATGTCACCTTGGGCCTCACTGACCAACTTTACATATTCAAGAGCCACTGTCAAGTGCTGGGTCCCCTGAATCTGCCAGGGTATCCCTACCCCTCTGGTGCCCCTGGCTGGGTAATCTTTGTCGATCAGTAATATGTCTATTAATGATTATGTTCAATGTTGTAGGATAATGGTTGGTAATAATGTGTCTTATCATTCAGAAGTTTATGGTGATGATCAATCACCTTTTGCATTAACCATATCTCAATGCTCTTTTTGAACTTGACTGGTAGTAGATACACCTTGGAGTTATATTAAAACCCCATAAATCTTTGTGGGCTTAAGACTGCTAATTATGGTTGATATTATCTCAAATTCACTAGACACTGTTCTGCTTACTTTTTGAACATGAAACCTACAGATAGAGTGAATCTGGTTAGCTTCCCTGTTTTGTGCATTCTCTATTCAACAATGTATTCTGTAATCTTCTGTATTTAGACAATATTCAACATTACAACATTTTTATCAAACTTCTTGTATATTTTTGTATAATAGAGCTGTTGAATTAAACCATTGTGAAGAACATTCTACAATAATCTCTTTAATTCAAGAAATCACTTTCTAGAACAAAACATTGAGATTTTTTTTCCATAGTAATGCATTTACTCATGAGTCCATGGGGTATTTTTATGGTTTTTGAAGTCTGGAGACTCTTTCCTAAGGATGAAAATCACACTCTTGTGAGACATTATTTCTAAGGCAGTGCACCTCCTGGCAGGATGCTAATTCCAGAGGATCATGCCAGGGGCATGACTGTGGACGGGCAGGGGGTCGTCTGCCCACCCAGCAGAGACAGACCAAAATGAACCAATAATTGGTGATTTAGTACAATCATCCTGGGACCCAGGTCAGCATTTTTTACCCAAAAGGTAAGACATTTAACAGAATTTGATCTCTAGTGTCTGCCCAAAATACCCAACTACTTAGCCGGGGATGGCATGCTAACACCAGTGGATCACACACATATTCACTCGTAATTCACTCGTACCAAAGCCCACATCTATGATACGCGCCTGGAACCTATCGTTTACAAAACCGGCTACACCCAGGATTGATTAACAAGACATACACTAAGGACATTTAAAGACATTAATTCACTTTAAAGACACTATGGTCCATAGAAATGTATGTATATTATATACAAGATTGGGATGGGGGGGGCATTGTGAGCACATCTGAATATGTGTTGTTCTGCTTCAGTATCCCTTTTGTACAAGCCATAGACCTATGTTACACTTGTGCTGACTCAGCATCTTTTTGTATTACATAACATTGCATAATGTCAAAAATAATTCACGTGTAATGGCACCCATTTTAGATATAAGAACAATTTGTAATGAAAGAGATACACTATGCTATAAGCTTATCAGTTTAATTTGTATTAGTAGCAACTTTGGTAGTTGAGGAGCCATTTGATACATATTACAAATTATAATATTAATCATATTAATGAATGAAATTCAATTTTAATTTCATTTTTCATTTCTTAAATATCTTTCGAATCTTAAAATTTCAGACTTAACCTGAAGCTGATGTATATCTAACCATAAATGATGTAAAATTACAAGATTTAAAGTGAAAGGCTAGTAGGAGGTCACTTTAAGGTACAGACAGCCTGAGGATGAGCAGGTACGCAGACAGGTAGACACACTGACGGGCAGACATACCGGAGATACGCCGACACTGCACAGCCGCGCTGACGTCCTCGTACCTATCCAATGACGTTGCTGGTGGGCGTGGTCACGCCATTGTCGTCAGAGGAAGAGACGCGTCCGTCGTTCATTCTCGCGCCCCTGTAATAACGCTGTCGGAGCGTGGGGCCGCTCACAGTACCGATCGGCCGTCCTTTGGACACTTCAGCTCCTTTTTCGCTTGTGTGTTCGTGGCTCAGCGAAGGACGCCTGCAACTGAAGAAAAGCCGAAGGTAACAGTCGGGATGCTTTCGTTTTTACTTGGGGGGTTGAAGACCCGAGGGAGCCACAGAGCGATGTTTATTATTAGTTTGATATTTTCCACAGTCGACTGGATAGTCTTGCTGATGTCCAGTTTTATGTGGGCTATCTATCCGGAAATAAATAATCCCCTTGGCAAAAATCACGAAATAAATCCAATATTTTCGGTGGTAACTTTCATATTTGAACATGTTTATCGCCCACTTAATGTAACAGCAGGGTTATAGCGATCTGGCTGCGCTTGTATATGTCGATACGTGATGTGACGTTGAGCTAGCCAGCTAGCTATACATCTTGTATTGAATTACACAGGGAAAAAGATGGATCGTTTTATCAGGTCCCTGAATGATCCAGCTGTAAACCGTAAGGTCGGTTGAAATCTACCCCAGATCCGGTTGGTGTCCCTCAACGTCCGGAGAGGTGGCAAACCAGATACCTGCACCTCTTAAATGGGTGACCAGAGATTTATTTTCATGTTACATTAACCAGCCAGCTATGTCATTACTGTGCTGTGTACTTCTAACTGCGTATCTAGACAAATACAGATCAAGTTTTATTTCATCGATGAACTACATGCCATGCATCCTGAACTCCCCTAAACTGTTATGTCAATGTGACATCAGCGTACATAAGTTAATTTGTAGTGGCATAATATCAGATATTTTACTTTCTAGTGTCTACTCAAAAAATTATTATACGTTTCATACGGCAAAATGGACAGGCTTTCCTGAAGGGCTTCCACCCTCTGTAAACAACTGCTAAACAGACTGTTTCCAGCAGTTTCTGCAAAAAGCAGATAATCTGTGGAAAAACCCACGTTGGCTCACAGAAAAATGTAAAAGCTCAATTCCCAAACCAGGTGATATTCACGTCACTGGACAGCAGTTTTTTGCAGTGCAGAGGGCCATGGTCACTGGTAACATTCAGACTGCATGGGAATGTATTGCCCTGCTTGAATGCAGTAATTACAGTCCAGCTGGAAACAAGACAGTTATCTGCTTTAAATTATATCATTTACTGTGGGCTAGTTTGCAGACCTGTAGCTGCCAAATTGTTGAATAAATAAGAGTAACAAAGTATAGTGAAAGCAGGAGCTTCATCTTTTTGACTCTAGCCATTGGCATGCCATTATTCTTGTCCTTTATAACAGTGTTTTCCAACCCAGTCCTCGGGGAACCCCAGACAGTCCTTATTTTTGCTCCCCTCAGCTCCTGGATTGTCGGGAGGGTCCCTGAAGACCAAATTGGGAAGCATTGCTTTATAACATTGCTGGATAGCTGATGTGTCCAGAGTAGTTTTTTTGTTTTTTGTTTTTTTGTGTTGGAGCACGTTTTGCGGTACTGAAGCCTCCTCATCTTCCGAGGAACATTGGCATGGGAGTCTGAAGAAAAGACATAAGCTAACAGCAGCTCTAGGCCACTGTCTGTACTTCACGAGATTAATGGCAAAACAGTTCTGAATCAGATCACTGGAAATATCCATTTGCAATTTTAATCAGGCACTTTTGTTATGTACAATCTTAAATACCTCACAGAGAAGAATACTGTGGTGTGATTTGAATGCACAGACTGTTTATCACATCCAGAGTATACTTCTGAGTTAAGGGGTGGGGAAAGTCATAGTCAGATTAGTTACTTTTCTCTTTGTTCTCTACAAGGGTCTGTTTCAGTGGGTGGTGTGTGAAAAAGAAATCTACAGAATGGAGAGCTTGCTTTACATGAGGGTTAGGGTTAGGGTTAGGTTTAGGGATCTTGGTGTGAGGTGAAATTTCCTGGCATGGTTTATTTGTGCACAACCGTTTAGAGGGCAAGATACAAAAGCTTTGTGTTTATTGACATTTGATTGATTACATTCTTTGGTGTTGGGTGTGAAATCTCAGATAACAATGGTCTCCTTCTTGCAGCTGAAGTGGTCATTAAGTGGTTTGATGAGCAAGAAACATTCAGTGGCTGACTCAGGTGGATGCTTACAGAGCTTCTGTTGTAGTTCCTATGACAGCATTTTCCACCATCGCCAGCAAGATGCCACATGAGGGAATTTCTCAGGGGTGTTGCATCAGTACGGTTTCATGCAGTCTTTCCCATAGTGCACTGCAGTTCTTTTCCAATTTGTGTTTGTGCCTAATTAAGTCATTACACAGTGATATCTTCATTTTCCCTTCACCTGTATGAATGTGCTCATTTCTCCAGGAAAATCAAGATTCTAAATTTTAAACCTTGAAATGTTATTGAGTGAACTTAAACAGAGTCTGTATTATTTTGTTGTGTGATGCAAGTGAAGGTTTTTTGTTTATGATATATATATATATATATATATATATATATATATATATATATTCCATCACAGTAGATCCACGATGTATAGGTGTAATGGAGAGAATGTAGATCTTCGTAAGCTCTGTTTCCTGAAACGCTGTAAAAAGCTAGGTGAAATGGTCAGTTATTAATACTGTTCCCATATCATCCTTGTCTTTCTGCTTTCAAGAAAACTCACTTTACATTTATTTAGTGACCACATGTGTCTCCCTCAAGGGCTTGCAGGTGAAATGTCTTTGCTAGACACTGCATTTGATCTGGTAACCTTCCGTTGATTAGTACTGCAGCCTATATCTCTGACCCACATACCTCCTTGATCTCTTGATTCATGAAATTATGCTGCATTGTTCTTTAAACTTTACCTTCTGCAACAATTGATGATAATAGTACCTCGTCAAACGTTTACAATCATGACAGCTTTATGGCTCGCTAACAATAGCCGTTAAACTAGCAATGGCATGTCAGAAATTACAGGAGGATCCCAGATTTGTTCCCAGTGAAAAACGGTTCAGATTATAGTACAGAACGCCTTGACTGATCTGCGTGGGGGTTTTCACCTTTTAGTCAATAGCTAATTTTATACATTTCTTGCAGATGCTGGCAGTAGAGAAGATTTTAAACTTAAAGTCATTTAAGGTGTCACGTTCGGCCGGTAGGCGAACCAGGAAGCAGGCGAGCTGAGCCAAACTTACGGGTAGAAGGGGGTTTATTGGCTGACAGACAGACAGGCACGGACATCTACGGACAATACAATGACAGATCTGGGGTACACCGACTTAGACACGGACTAAATACAAGAGACAGGCTAAGGGTAACGAATCACAGGTAAGAACAACCAGGGAATCACACGAGGTAACGAGGTGGGCGTGGCACACATCGGGAGCGGACGGAGCGGGGCGTGACAACAGGCATGCTTTTACCTATTTTAAAATGAATGTCTGAGTCGCCTGTATGAATCTGCTGTTAAAACCTGTACTTTTGTCCTACTACTTGCTTATCCTATTCTGAGTCTCAGGAGCCCATCCTAGAAGCTACAGGCATAAGGCAGGGAACAACCCGGGATGGATGCCAACCTTTTCACAGAGTACACTCACACACACAGGCAATTTGCTAGCTCCAATTCACCTCCACGTGTTTTTGAACTGTGGGGGAAATCTCATGATGACATGGGGAGAAACTCCACACACATGGAACCAGGGCAGTGATTCGAACCCTGGTCCTAGAGATGCGAGACAACAATGCTAACCACTGTGCCACCACAACCTCTGTCTGTACATATTATGGTATCAAATACTTAGCTGCAGAAGCATATGCATAAATATTAATCAGTCATAAATTATGAATTTGCCCACAATTCTGTGTTGATGCATGGTTATAATTTACTATTATTATTAGTAAAATATGTTCGCCACTTAACTGTATATCTATGTATATTTTTCATAGAAGCATTATATAGCAAAACAAAGCATTAAAAAAGATACTACTTTTACTAAAACGTCATTACTTTTTAAGATTTCAGTAAAGCAAAGAGTGATGCAGGAGGCTGTTTCTGATCAGAGAGACTGAGTGAACCCAACATAAAGCATAAAGAGTGGTTTGAGAATCTCTTGCATTTGGGAGTAGATCGTGCGTGTAATAGTGAGAATGAAAATAGAAGATTTAAACGACAATCTTTGTTCGGGGGAATAGCTAGTGTGTATATATACACTCACCTAAAGGATTATTAGGAACACCTGTTAAATTTCTCATTAATGCAATTATCTAATCATCCAATCACATGGCAGTTGCTTCAATGCATTTAGGGGTGTGGTCCTGGTCAA